CTGAGCAGCGGAGCGCAGGTGTTTTTTCACGGCAGAACGTCGTCAGGATAACACCTGTCTGATCCCAGGCTGCCAGCAGGCACTGCCCCAGGGTGGCTCCGAAGCTTTTGGGGCCCTGGGCGCTCGGTCCCCGACGGCTGCAAGGCTGGCGTGAAGCGGTCAGCGAGGGCTCCTCAGTGTCCTTGGAGAAAGGCAGCATCCTCTCTTCTTGGCCGGGCTCGATGTCAGCATCACCTCGTCCTGGGGAGGTGCTGGAAGGTGCAAAACACAGAGTCTGTAGTTTTATTGGGTTTTTGTTGTGTGGTGTTATTCATTTTAGTAGTTTGGTAGTAAATGACAATGGCTCATTTTTATTTCAGTATTTCTATTGCTACCGCACAGTTTAATGGTAAGGGTTATAATTTAACCCATAGTGATAAGTCTGCAAAAGGGAGAGGAACAGCAAAGAGAAAATGCTGAGCTGTTTGCCTGCTTGAAAGATTGTGAGACTAAGTTGTGTCCCCCCCCCGCCCCAGGTTCTGCTGAGAACCCTTCCTCCTCCGGTGTTGGCGTCAGATTTCCATGGCATCGCAGTGCCCACCCTGGGGTTGTCATGCCAGGGGAGAGGCTCAGAGCTGCTAAGCCCCACAGACCATAGTCGGTGAGGGATGTGGCACCACAGACTGCAGGCAGTGCTGCTTCGGGAGTGTGGCAGCAAATCTGCATTTCTTCCAGTAAAGTTAAAGTCGGGGATTCCCCACTAGGTACCCAGGCGATGCGTGGGACCCTAGGACAAATTAATTGCAAGGCAAGTCTGTGCTTTCTTGAGCAGATTCCCTCATGATAGTTGCAGAATAGCTGGAAGTCAAGCTGTCTGCAAGGATGAGTAAAATTCCTTCCGTTTGGTCAGAGAGTATTGTTCAGAGCACGAAGCACTTGCCTGCCTTGCCAGTGCATATCCCAGAGAGAAGGGAGCCTCGTTCCCCATCTCTTTTAACAGCATCATATGTGAAATGAACTGTGACATTAGGGGGTAACCACAGTCCTCGCTTGAGTGCATTTCCTGGCATGTGAGTGGGCATGACCTGGCAGGGGCAAAGCCAGAACTGCCCAGTGCAGGGTCAGAGCCGCTCTGGCCAGCAAAGGCTCTCCTGGCCTCTCAGCTGACCTGGAGCCAGCCCGTGGACGTTACATGCCTTTTTGTGTTGTTTGTAGGGCTCTTACCACCCCAGAGCACTGATCTCTGGCTGCTGCGTGGTGAATAATGTGCATGAAGCGGGCTGCTTCAGGGGGAGTGGTGATGCATGGTGAAGCTCCCCATTTTTCATTATTGTTTTTTCTGATCGCTGATAATGACACTTCTGCTCTCAAATATCAAGTGGTAAATTTTGTGAGGTACCTCCCTGTTTAGTGAAGCCACTTGTCCAGTGCCTTGTGGAGAGCAGTGGGAGGTTGCCAAGCACACAGAACATCGGAAGGCTTGTCTACCACTGCAGGCACTGCGCCATGGGCCAGCATGGGAAGTAGGGGCTGAAGTCAGGTGCCACCAGCAGCCACCGTTTCTCAGGACAGGACATGGGGAATGACACTGGGGAAGTGGTGGCGTGACTTGGAGCAGAGGGGCATGGTCTTGCATGCCAGCAGCAGCAGCCTCGCCTTCCCCGCTGTGCAGCAGAAGCTCTGCGGGTTCACCGCTGACTCTGTGTCCTGTCTTTCGCAGGTGCTGATGGAGGTCGGTGGCCTGCCAGTTGAGCTGTGGCAGCTCATCTTGTCCTACCTGCGCCTCCCTGACCTGGGCCGCTGCAGCTTGGTCTGCAGGGCCTGGTATGAGCTTATCCTCAGCCTGGACAGAACGCGCTGGCGGCAGCTCTGCCTCAGCTGCCTCGAGCACAGACACCCCAACTGGCCCAACCAGCCCAGTGTGGAGCCGCAGTCCTGGAGAGAGGCCTTCAAACAACACTACCTGGCCTCCAAAATCTGGACTAAAAACATGCAGGACCTGGAGCCCTCCAACTGCTTCTCCCTCTTCCAGAGGAGGAAGGGCCGTCGCCAGCTCTCTGTCGGCATGGGGGGCGAGTTTGGCAGCCTCCAGACCGCCCTGGCTGCGGCCAACCCCTACGACCGCCTTGTGCTGCTGCCTGGCGTGCACGAGGAACAGAGCGAGGTGCTGCTGAAGGTGCCTGTGGAGGTTGTGGGGCAGGGCAGGCTGGGGGACGTGGCACTGCTGGCGAGCATCGACCAGCACTGCCCCACTGCCCGCCTCTGCAACGTGGTCTTCATGCCGACCCGCTTCAGCTCTGTGCTCTACAAGGTGAGGCTCAGTGGAGTGAGGGCCGTGAGGATGGTCTGGCTGCCAAAGTGTCATGACCGAGGGGATTGGGCGGTCTGTGGGCATCGGGAGAGCGCAGCTGGGGGTTTGTGGGACTCCTAACGTCTGGGGGCTCAGGGGCTTTGTCCTCTGAATGTCTCCACTTGATTACAGTACAGCATCAATCAATAGTATGGCAGCAACCAGTGACAGAAACAATCAACAGCATAGCAATGACGAATAACAGCAGCAAACAAGTAAGTAAATACTATTGCAGGTTGCTGCAAACTTACCGTCAATACAACAGCAGATATGCTTGTGATAGCTTACTTATATGGATATATAATACAGGTATCAAGAGAATTAGGCAGATTTCAGAAGGGGCCAAACCATCTATCATAGGTGAATTATTGAGAGGTCATAATTGTGGGGTAAACTAGAAGGGTTTTATTAATGGTTAAATGATGATCAAATGATAATTATTTGATGATTGAATAATAATTAAATGGTAATTAAATGGTGATTAAGCAATAATTGAATGGTAATGAAACACTGATTTAACAATGATTTGACACTGATTTAAATGGCAATTTAGACAGTGGTCAAACATTCTACTACTAACTACACTTGTAATAATTAAGCTATAGCTGGGTACATAAATGTCACTAACATACAATATACTTTTAGGCCTAATGTAAAATGTCGCTTGCCTCATTATAGGTATCAGATGCCGGCTAAAGGGTCTCTCATCTTCAAGGAGTGACCTTGAGAGGCATCCCTGCTCAAGGGAGATCACTACTGTGCAGCCCACTGCCATACAGGAGAGCCCAGTGGGCTCAGGGGGCTGCAGGTATGGATAGTGTAAAGTGGTGGACTCATAGTCAACCCTCACCTTTGGTGTTTGTGCAGGTGCACAGCTGTACTAGTCTTAGTTTTGTCTAGTCCCAGCTGGGGCTGGCACTGTTAGCTCCTGATAAGATGTGGCCTAGACTCCTTAGTCCCTGAGAAGATCTGGCCTGGCACTGTTCTCCTGGTTTGCACAGCAGGGCTGACTTCAGTCAGGGCTACTTGTGGGTGATGCCCGAACCAAAGCACTGCTTACTCACTCAGAGTGGGTGCATCCGTTACACCATCCCAGAAGGGTACCGAGCCGTCACAGAGGCAGGAGAGCAAACTGAACCAACCTCAAAAGTGGGGCCAAAGGAGACCAGCAAGGTAACAGAGTCACATCAAAGATGCTTTGTGTCACAGTCTGGAGTCAGTCAGGCATCCCTGGCCAGGATCCGAGATCTCATAGCAGTTTCCTGGTGACAATTCAGCTGGTTTAGGAAAGGAAAAGTACATGCAGGATGGGATGTTCTCAGAGAGAGAGGCTGCAATTTGGATAAAAATTAAGTCTGTTTTAAGAGGATGTGGCATGCCACCACTTTGAGCAACCAGTAGATGCTGTTAATTTCCATTTTTCACTTGGAACAACCAATCAAAGATGATGTTTTTGTTCTTTTAGAGCAATTTTATTTTTCTAGGCTGTTTCCACTTTTCCAGATGATAAGTTGCCGTTACAGTCCCTTGTTTTTTGCATTTATTGGTGGTATCTCAGGATGTCTCTGGTTTCTCAGTACTCGGCTGCACCTCAGAGGTGCAGCTGTGCTTTTCAAGGATGTTTCTGACTCCCAGGCTGGCAGGTGTTTTCCCTTGTTCAGTGATTTTCCCATTCTCACTACCTGCCTTTGTGACTGCTGACATGGCGAAGCGTGAGCATGCAAGAGGCACCCCCAGGAGCCGGCATTACCAGTGGTGCGCCAGCCCTGCTGCCCCAAAAGCCAGTTGCCACTGATGTGCGCTCTGCCCTCGGCCTGGGCTGGGAGCCTTTGGCCGGGATGCCCAGGGTCTTCTCCAGACCTAAGCCAGGACACGGGATCAGGGGCCCAGCCCCGCTGCCATGGTCTGCCCTGCACCCTTGGGCTGTGCCTCCAAAAACAAGACCTTCCTCATGATGAGTCAGCCCATCATCAGTTATAATTTATGGTTTCATTTCCTTTTCACCGTTTTATTACGTGACATATTGTCATGGTTTAACCCCAGTCGGCAACTAAGCAGCATTCAGGTGCTCACTCACTCCTCCCCTCATCCCAGTGGGATGGGGAGGAGAATCAAAAAAAAAGTAAAAAAACTAATGAGTTGAGATAAGAACAGTTTAATAACTAAAGTAAAATAAAATACAATACTCACAATAATATTATAATAATTGTAATGAAAAGAAATATAACGGAAGGATAAAACCCAAGAAAAGACAAGTGATGCACTATACAATTGCTCACCACCCGCTGACCGATGCCTGAGCAGCAATCTCCGAGCAGCGATCGGCCCCTCCCAGCCAACTCCCCCAGTTTCTGTACTGGCCATGCTGTTCTATGGTATGGAATAGCCCTTTGGCTGGTTGGGGTCAGCTGTCCTGGCCATGCTCCCTCCCAGCTCCTTGTGCACCTCCTCGCTGGCAGAGCGTGGGAAAGTGAAAAAAATCCTTAATTTAGGATTAAGTGCTACTTAGCAGCAAGTAAAACATCAGTGTGTTATCAACATTATTCTCACACTAAATCCAAAACTCACTGTACCGGCTACTAAGCAGAAAAATAACTCTATCCCAGCCAAAACCAGGAGACAGACTTAACTTAATCAGACTGAAAATCCCTGGGAGAAGATGCACCAGCACATGGTGGGAAATCCGAGTCACAAATCTGCGGAGAAAGTCCCTGTTTGTCTGCGGCCATGAGCTGGGTTGCTGAAGTGGACATGTGGTGTCTGGCTCAGCAGTGTCTCCTGCATTTGGCCGGTTGGCGTGGCTGCATTTTGCCTTTCGGGCTGTTGCTCGGGTCTCCATGCGCAGCGGGGTGATGGTACAGCCCTTCAGCTGCTGTTGGTGGAATGAGAGCGTTTCCTTCCAAATCCATCAATGAAAAACAAATTTGAAAAGCAAACTTACACCAATCCTACTGGCAGTCATTAAAACTCTGGGAATGGGAATTTCAGAAGGCCTTTCACAAGAAGCCTCTCAGAAACTGATTTTATTGTGTCCCTTTTAATTAGCTTATTTTAATTAAAAAAAGGGAAGGTACGATTCAGTCTGGAGCAGGCGAGCGGTCTGAAGGGATTTCTGTTTGGTTGTCTTTGGGTAAAGAAATGCATTTCAAAACCTGTTTGCAGTATGACCACTTCTGAGAGTGCTTAAGGCTGAAAACAGATGTTAGGATGGTGTGTTTGCTGCAACTCTGAAAGTCTCTGTAAAACTGCCCCAGCTCACAAGCTATTGATCTGTCTACTTTTAATGTGGTGCACTAGGCAATCAAGAGAGAACCTGGGGAGAGAAAATAATGATTTAGGAGATTCTCACTCAAATTAGGAGTACAGTGGAATTCCAAGCACACCACTCAGCTTTTCTGACCTGGCTCCTCCGTACCTTGTTGGATTTCTGTTGGTCTTTTCTGTAGCTAAGCAGAGACTTGCCCTGCCTGCGCAGGAGAGAGATATTTGGCCATGCACAGTCATCCTGGTGGTTTCCCAGCATCCATAAATTGCGGTGTGTGTTGCCTAGCAAAGCGGGAAGGCCATGTACCAGCCAGTAAGATGGGAAACCACCATCAGGAAACAAGGAATTGATGGTGTCGCTCCTCCTGCCGTGTCACAACATAATGCCAGTGCAGCAGTGTGGCCCAAATTTTGACGTGTTTTGCTTTGCACTTGTTGGATTGTGGGTGCAAAGTCCTTCCACCAAGTATGCTGACGGCTCCAGGGAGGATTGTAGCTCTCCAGGCCAACTAGGCAATGTTTGATGTCATCTTACCTGCTGCTTCACCCAGTAAACCCCTGAGTCCGTTAACAATGCCAGCTGGCAAATACACATCTCCAAGGCTGCAAACTCTTCTGTGTAGGGAGTGTTGGTAAGGTTTAGTGATCTTGGCACATCGAGGCCCTGTCTGCTCCTGCACGTGTCGGCTGCGCCTTGCTGAGGCTGCTAAGCTGTCTCTTGGCAGGCAAGTTAAGGAGACCTTGCCAGTAGGGAAGAAAGTCAGGAGGTGTCCCTTGTTGCAAGATACTCGCTAACTCAGCTCACAGCATTGCATCTGTGCCTGTGTGAGTCTGTTGCGTTTGTGACACCTGAATGCGTATCGTGTTTGTGAGCGTGAGCTTGTTTGCTCTGGAGGAACTTCATGGTACACCCAGGACTGCTTTTCTTGCTTGCAATGATCTCACCTTGTGCTTACTCTCCAGACGACCTCAGGCTACGTCCAGTTCGACAACTGCAACTTTGAAAGCGGGCAGCTGCAGATCCATGCGCCAGGGACGTGCCAGGTGAAGTTCTGCACCTTCAGCCAGTCCAGCATCCACCTCCGCAGCATGTCCCTGTGCATCCTGGAGAACTGTGAGTTCACCGGCAGCGAGAACGCCTCTGTAACTGTGGAGGGCTGCCCGAGTTCGGATCGTAACTGGGCCTGCAAGCATCTGGCTCTGCTGACCAAGTCTTGTGCAGCGTCCATGCGGGAGCCTGACCCAGCCATCTGCCCCGTGGCCAGGTGGGATGGCTGGAGGGAATCGCTGCTGGAGCCAGTAAGAAAGTGCGAGATTGTCATAGGGGAAGAGCGAAGCAGCTTCCTTGCTGCTGTGGGTGCTAAAGCCCAGCTTGGCTCAGCCCAGGAGGACACTGAATTTGGACACAACTTGCGGGCAGCAAAGGAGGAGGAGTACCCAGCCCTTGACTCGAACTCCAGTGGCAGTGACTTACACAGTGATGATGAAGGGGATGTTCAGGCAGCGTACAAAGTGCCCTATCAAGCCCACAGCCTGAGTCACACGCTTCCTGATGTTACAGACAGCAGGCTTCAAAGCAACAGACTGCAGGCCCTTCAGAGGGACCTTAAGCTCAAGTCTCTGCAGCAGGAGCTGCAGGAGGACAAGGAGGCCCAGTCTTTGGCTAACTCTCTGCAAGGCTGCATCATCCGACAGTGCCTTTTCAGGGATGGAAAGGGAGGAATATTCATTTATTCACAAGGGCAAGCAAAACTGGAAGGAAGCATCTTCAGGCGTCTGACCTATGCAGTGCGCTGCATACAAAACAGTAAGGTGCTGTGAAGACTGCTGCGAGCCTTCTTCCCTCTCCCTCCTGCTCCACTAGCTCCTTTCCTATGCATGGCCGGGGTTAACCAGTCCAAACAAAAGGCAGGTCACTGGCAGCTGCCTGCTGTCTGCATGCAGTAATGTTATATTTGCAGTTGGAGGCATTAACTCAGTGGCATGTTGGGGTTGTGTAGTCAGGCCCGCTCTACCTGTAAATTAAACTCTGACCCTGTAAAAGTGCTGCTGGTTATCATCACCTTTGCTGCTCCCAGCACAGCCCATACCACAAATGCAGGGACTTGGGGACTGCGGTGTCAACCCCTGATCCTGCCCCTCGCCATGGCCAGTCCTGGCTGCTTCAGGGGAGCCTGCAGGAGTGGATGCCTGCTGCAGGCAGAGATGGCTGTAAGGAAAGGTGATGGCTGGGGACGTGTGCTGGAGGCCGAACTGAGGTTTTCCCTCAGCACAGCATCATCTAACCCTGCCCTTGGCCAGAGCTCTCCGCTTCTGTGCATGTGCTGCTCTTCAGACAGGACGGTGGTGGCGAGGACTGGAGGGATAACCACGCTGCCGAAATCCCCAGTGTGGGCGGTGTTGAGGGGGCTCGGGAGGCTTCTCTGCAGGCACCTGCCCAGAGCAAGACCATCCCCACCACTTGGTCGGGTCGGCCCAGGATTTGGGCCCATTTTTGACTCTATTGCTTTAAAAGACTGCGGATAAAAGTTTTGTGCAGGGAGAGGAAGGGGAATGTTTTTCTGCCCAGTTCTGGGAAAGGGCTTTGCTGTGATGGTTCTAGCTCCCCATCTGCAATCCCCACAGAAGGACTGCCGAATGCTGTTGCCTGTGCAGAAGCACTTTGCTTCTTGGCAGTCGAGGACGACTCCTTTCTTCCCAAGGGATACTCGTACCAGAGGTGCCCTCCTGAAGGCTGACCCACAGGCAGAGTGGCGGCAGGAGGGAGCAGAGGCACCTTGCACGGCTCTGCCATGCTGTTCAACTCCTCTGAGCTGCTCAGGGGCTGTTTTCCTGGGAGTTAGCCTAGCAACAAATGCAGGTCTGGCACTTCGACCTCCATTCTGTTTTTATTCGCTTCGGTTTGCCTCCAGTTTGCTCAGCAGCTTGGTTTTAACTGGTAGCAAATGGGAGGGAGATGAGGCCAGCCCAGCTGCTGCTCTCGGTGAGAATTTGCTCACCTAGGAATGAGCGCAGAGGCTCTTGTCAAGAGGTGGGTGTCGGAGCATCAGGCAATGGGAGACAGTGAAGTGCTTGCCTGTGAGATGGGGGCAAGGTGCAACACGGAGTGGGAGCGTGACGGAGCTGGTAAGGGCTCACTGTCCTTGCACAGCCAGGACCCTTGGGCGCAGGGCAAGCCTGGGCCAGGATCTGGTATGTGGGACCCAGCTGGAGCAGGTCCCTGCGTTTCTTGCCTCCTGTACCTCCCTCCCTGGGCAACCAAGCATGCCTCGTGGAGACAGGCAGCTGTCAAGCCCTGCTGAGCTCCACGTTTAGCTGAGAGATTGAATGAAGCACCTTTCTGGAATGGGCAAATAAAAGGAAGTATAATTTAATTACCTTCTGATCTGTGTTGCTCATTGAAGTGGGGTATGCAAAGGCAATTTGTGGATTATTTCTTAGCACTTGTAAGACATGGATTTGACATTATTTTGTTTGGCTGGAAAATATTAAAGATTGCTGCTGTGTAAATATTTAACTACTTATTTGCTTAGAGTAAACTAGTTGTTATGAGTGGTGTCAGTGACTTTGGATTGCTGGCCGGGCCGTTTCTGCCCCTAAAAGGCAGGATCTTTGTTCTGAAGGTGCAAGGCGACAGACAGGTCACACGCTGAGCGTGTGTGCTGTAGCACGCTGGCCCAGCCAGCTTCATGGAGACTCGTGGGAGGCTGCGCGGCATTTGACGTGTCGCCTCTGAGCATCTCTGAGAGCAGAGAGTCAGGAGGCAGCCTGTGGCTGACTGCGTACAGGTTGGATGCCGATGCCTGAGCAGGGATGGGGCAGGTCTGTTGTACTGTGGGCGATGTGGAGGTGGGACAGGGAATGGTCACTCTCTGTTGCTGATGATGTGCAAGTGCAATGCAGTGAATGAAGCCATTGGGCTTTGTTGAGCAGAGGGATGTGTCAGGGCAAAAGGATATCTTTGCTCTGACTGTGCAGCACCAAGCACTGTGGGTTCCCATGCCCAAGCAGACCCATGCCAGTGGGTAATGCCCAACAGGATTAACCGTAGCACTTGTCCACAAATGCTGATGTTCCTTTCAGCTGGACTGTGTGCCTGGTACACCCTGGGTCGTGGGAGAGGCAGAGAGGTCATAGATGCACAGAGGCTGCAGACGGGAGAGCTATACCCTTTGGTCATGTCCTCTTTGTCGTCCTTCTAACTGCAACTACAGGTAGTTCTCCTCTTCCCTGCAGGTTATTATGCTGAAGAATGACATCCACCATTGCAAAGCATCGGGGATATTCCTGCGCCTGTTGGCAGGAGGCCTGATTGCAGACAACAACATACATTCAAACTGTGAGGCTGGAGTGGACATTCGTAAGGGAGCCAACCCCCTTGTTCTGGTACGTACCCCTCCAAGCCATGCTGGAGGGCAGTGCGCTCTTTCTCTCACATGCTGTTTCTCTCCAAGTGGCAACAGGGATCCATCTCCCATTATAGAAAACACTGACCTGTCTATTAGCTTTGCCCTTCAGCCTGTTCCTTAGGTTTTTGTTGATCAATTAGACTACCGCTAACCCCATGGGTAAGGCACAGCAACGCACTGCCTGATGATACATGCATGGTCTCCCGCTGTACTTGATGGGATGTCTTAAAATTGGTACTCATAGAGGGGAGGGGAGGGGGATGTTCCCCTATCAAATAAACACTCCTGTGTAATGAGTGAACTCGTGCACACAAGGTAGTCAATCGGCACTGTGCTGTAAATTGTTTCTCCTACAATGGGAATCATGTTGTCTGCCCTGGGAGCCTGGTGGAGGGTCTCAGCTCTCTGCGCACCCTCAGGCACGAGGGGAGCAGCAGCCCGCTCTCCAGCGGCACAGCTTCTCCTCTGAATCGGTAGTGTCTCCAGCTGTGCAGTGGGTAACCTTCTCCCTGTTTACTGAGCGCTGTATCTGTAGCCATCCTTGAGGGAACCAGGGCCTCACTGTGCAGTGGAAGGCAGAGAGGTAGGTACAAATTACCGCCTGAGTGACCCTGTGGGTGCATCGAGCTCTCGGTGTGAGCTCTGCACAGGAGGTGGGGCTGGCAGAGCTGCAGCCCTGTGGAGGTGGAGGTGGCAACTCAGCCATGGAGCTGCGGGCCATGTCTGGCCTCGGTTGCAGCTTTGAGCTGCTGTTTGTTGCTTTGCCTGGTTTGGCAGTTCCTATGCCGCCACTCTGCGAGATACCAGGCTGGGACTGCCGTCCTGCTCAGAGGGTCCCAGCGTACTCCTGTCCTCACAGGAGATGTTGGCCGCTGTGGAGAGAAGCAGCCATGTGGCTGTTGACAGTGGTCATTCAGGCTGTGCAAAGCACTATCTAGCAGCTTGAGAAAAGGTACCACACTCTAACGCCGAGCTCCCCGCTTGGACTGCTGCCTACAGCTCCTGTGGGGTGCCACCGAAGGTCTCTTCCTTGTGGTGGCCGTGGGGAGGTGTTGGACTTGCAACCCCATCAGCCCTGCCCAGTGTCAGATGGGCTGCAGGGAGCAAGGCATCACTGGGTCCAGGGCAGCCCTTGGACATGGCAGCAGGAGCTGCTGGAGGAAGAAGAGGCTGCAGGCATGATGGGAAGGAAAATTTGGCATGGTGTACTAGAACCCCAAAGAAAGGTAAAAGTTAAGTGTGCCTTGACCATTTGAGAGTAATTTCTTGGCAGCTGGATTAATTACCCTTCTGCCCTTTTCCCCAGCAGGGTTGGTAGCTGTTGCTTTTCTTTGTGGTTGCTGTCTCCTCTTGCTCACTTTTGAGTGACCTTCCTTCCTTTTGCTTTATTCTCTCTACATGTGCAAAAATAAAACCATAGTGCAATAAGATACACAGTGGCCTTCGCTCAGGCATTGTCGTCGCTGGCAACGGAAAAGGCATCATCCGTAGCAATCAGATCTATGGGAATAAAGAAGCTGGCATTTATATTCTGTATAATGGAAACCCTGCTGTGAGGTATGTTAGCTAGCACTGACCTCTGTCTCTCCTCCTTTGCCTGTAAAGAATTATTCCTCCAACTGTGCACACTTCTCTTTTTTTCTGTCCGCACCATAGGGCAGAAATAGGACCATGGTGCAGTAGTGGCTTTCTGTGACTTCCCTCTGTCTGCTTGCTGCACCCAGGTCTTTGCCAAGTACCAGTCCTGGGTTTTTCCCGTGGATCTGAGGAGGACACGGGCTGTGTTCAAATGAACAACACATGTCATAGTGCTTTTTGCAGGAAAAGGAGAAACAGACCTTGGCACTCCCATCATTGTTACTCCAGTTCACCTTTCTGCTTTAAACACCTGGAGCTGATGACTTGTGTGTGTTTCATACGATTCGGTTTAGATGTTAGTATTGGTGCCTCCCAGGCTTTCTTCAGGTTGATGCCATCAGCTTTACCTGGTGGTATCAACTGGTAGCAATGAACCCAGAAATGAGATGGCAGCTGGAGCATGGCATTGGTGGCGGATGTGAGGAGCATCTCATCTATACTGCCACTGCTTCCCGCCTCTCACTGCGCCTGTGGGTGATAAAGAACAGGTGTGTGACAAGTCTCTGCAGTGCTATAGAGCAGGGTGGGGCACAAATTGAAGAAAATGGTTGCCCTGGATAACCCCCTAGCTGGGATGTGAGTTTTCATGCTGGAAGTGTTGATAATTAACAGTGCTTCAGACTCAAGTCCTGCAGAGCTAATGAAAGTGACTTCTTGCAGGTTCATGATCTCTACGCAGAGCTGCTGAGGTTTAGACAGACTACCTGTACGGACACTTGAGAACAGGTTACTGAGGCACTTGAGACCTGGAGAGGAGAAGTCTGCACCATATGTACCAGCCCTGAAAATACAGGCGTCAGGGCCGGGCTTTCCAACAAGGGATTATGAAAGTGGTGTCTCAGAGAGGTATTGATTTCTGAGAAAAGTGGTATTGTAATGGCAGGGCCCAGCAGTGCAGAGGAAACAGGGTGCGGGATGGAGAGATTCACTAGATATCCTTCCCTCTGTACTTTCTTGCCACATCATTTGCAACCCCAGCTTGCATCTCATGACTGACGTGTGACCACCCATGCTTGCTGGCACGTAGGAGATGATGGGGAGGAGGCAGGGGGGAAGATTGGTGGGAAAACAGTTTTTTTCTTCTGACCAGCTGCCTGTTTTGGAGGAGCCCTCCTGCTCCGCTTGTGCATGCTGCTCTGCGCTGCCTTTGGTCTGTGCTGGCTTGAGGCAGACTCCAGCACTGGCCGAGGCTGTGTGCACCAGCGCTGTGGGATCAAGTGCATCCTCCGCAAGTTTGCAGACAACACCGAGATAAGTGGCGCAGTTGACACGGCTGAGGGACGGGATGCCATCCAGAGGGACCTGGACAAGCTTGAGAGGTGGGCCTGTGTGAACCTCATGAGCTTCAACAAGGCCAAGTGCAAGGTCCTGCACCTGGGTCGGGGCAACCCCAGATATCAATACAGGCTGGGGGATGATGTGATTGAGAGCAGTCCTGTGGAGAAGGGCTTGGGGGTACTGGTAGATGAAAAGCTGGACGTGAGCTGGCAATGTGCGCTGGTAGCCCAGAAAGCCAACCATGTCCTGGGCTGCTTCCCAAGCAGCGTGGCCAGCAGGTCGAGGGAGGAGATTCTGCCCCTCTGCTCCGCTCTGGTGAGACCCCCCTGCAGTACTGCCTTCAGCTCTGGGGTCCTCAGCACAAGGAGGACATGGACCTGTTGGAGCGAGTCCAGAGGAGGCCACGGAGACGATCCGAGGGATGGAGCACCTCTGCTGTGAGGACAGGCTGAGAGAGTTGGGGGTGTTCAGACTGGAGAAGAGAAGGCTCCGGGGAGACCTTAGAGCAGCCTTCCAGTACCTAAAGGGGGCTTATAAGAAAGATGGGGAGAGACTTTTTAGCAAGGCCTGTGGCAACAGAACAAGGGGTAATGGTTTTAAACTAAATGAAGGTAGATTTAGACTAGATAAAGAATTTTTTCAACATTGAGGGTGATGAAGCACTGGCACAGGTTGCCCAGAGAGGTGGTAGATGCCCCATCCCTGGAAGCATTCAAGGCCAGGCTGGATGGGGCTGTGAGCAACCTGGTCTAGCTGAAGATGTCCCTACTCATGGCAGGGGGGTTGGACTATGTAACCCTTAAACGCCCCTTCCAACCCAAAGCGTTCTACAATTCGGTGATTCTGTGGGCTACGCTGGTAGCCTGCCTTGCTCTGTCTGGACAGCCGGGTCTTCCCTCGGCTGCCAGGCTGATCAGCCCTGCCCTACCTGGCAGGCAGCTGTGCCTGGAGGGGCAGCTGTTGCGGGGCAGCTGTGGCAGGGCAGCTGTGGACAGCTGAGGTACCAGCTGCCTGGCGAGGAGGGGAGGCCCCGCTCTGCCTGCCCTGGTCCCTGGGAGCAGGACAGCAGCACGAAGCGCTGCACCCACTCCTCTGCCCCCAGCCAGCGCTGGTGATTGTGCGTCGCTGGTGATTGCCGATCACCGGCACTCCTGTCCCACCCAGGCTTGCTGCTGTAGAAGCTCCTCTGCTCCCTTCTCAGTCCGGGGGGAGCGGAGTCATCTCTGCTGAGCGCTCCTGGGTGGATGCCGGGGCAGAGTCCTTGCTGGGCACTCTGCTCAGTTAGTGTTTTTTTCTTCGTGATCATCCTCTGAACCTCAGCAGCAAGCCAGAGATGCGGGGTCACGTTGTGGAGGAGGAGCTGCTGGTGGGCTTGGGGCTCCTGGGCTTCGTTCCTCCTGAGAGGTGGTACGTGGGAGCCCCGGCATCAGCGGGTGGTGCCTCTGCAGAGGTGCAGTGGGGCCCACGTCTGCTCTCCAGGCTGTCGTTCCCAGCACAGCCCTGCCTCTGATCCTGCCACCGTGTTTAATGTTTTCTGCCATCAACTGTGATCACCATCTGCCCGCTGGCTTTGGAGCTCCTCTCGGAGCAGCAGTCCCATGGCTGACAAAGCCTCTCACCTCCTCCCTGGGGTCGGGGCGACGGGGAGCACAGGTTAAAGCCCTCACAGACTTCTCTGCAGCGTCCACCTAGGTGGGCACTGGCTGCTACATGTTGCGTCTCCTGCACTTTTGCACAGGGACACAGGGGTCTGCGACTCAGAGCCCCCTGCTCTGCACCAGCCCTGGGGGTCGGGGGGGCGGCAGCAGCCAGCCACTGGTGGTCTGCGTCCCCACGGGGTGTGCTGCATGGTGCTGGGAGACCTGAACGTGCAGGGTGCTTTGCAGAGGAGCAAGTTTAATCCTGAGGAGAAGAAAAGTCCATCTCGGGCGTGGGGCTAGCGGTGGGTGCACGTAGCCGGTGGGGTGGAGAGACTGGGCTGAAGGAAGCAGCACTTGGTTCCCCTTGTCCGTACGTTCTCTGGGACTGCAGTTGTGGCTGGCCACTCCTGGAGAGGGGACCTTGGCTGGACAGACAGCTAGTCTGACACAGTGACCTTTTGGATGTTCATGAGCGCCTACTGCTCTTTGAATGCTCTTACTGACATGTGTTTCTCCTTTGTGCTTTCACGTCCTTGAAAGTGGTTCAGCTGTCAGTGGCTCCACTATGGTTTGCATGTGTTTCCCCCGCTGTGCTTCCCTCTGGCTGCACTCGGCTGCGGGGATGCCCCGTGCCTGGCTCTCACTGCCGGGCACTGGCGACAGACTGACACGTAGCCAGCCAGGGAGACTGGTGCCTCTGCAGAGACCCACTGCGCTGGCACCACTGCCGCTGGTGACTTTCTTTTCTTCTGCCTCAGCGGGAACCACATTTTCCAGGGACTGGCTGCTGGAATAGCAGTGAATGAGAATGGGAGAGGTCACATCACAGGTATGGGAATGAAAATGATGCTGTTATGCCCAGTTTGTTTCTGTCTTTAAGCCTCTGTCTGTTTGTTTAATTGCAAAATTTACCTTGTTGTGGTACTTGGGTGACTTTAGGTGCAATAATCCCCTGGTTTGCATTTTCTAGTTGGCATTTCTGCCATTGATGGAGGGAGTGTGTTCTTCCACAGCACGTCCTCCAAATTATTGTTCCCTTTGTCTCTGGCCTAGCTGGGACATTGAACTGTGCTCCAGAGCAATACGCCACGTGGACTGCTTTTTTTCTCTCCTTTGCCATTCAGTTTATAAGCTAAAGCTCTCAATGTCATTTTCCTCCTGTCATGGCATCTCTTGAGCGGTTTCGCACTCTGCTCTTCACCTGGGAGGACAGGGAGGTGGTGGTTACTGGAACTGCTAATGACCGGTGTCCTCTGCGGGAGAGCATTGCCGGGGCATGGGGAAGCTCCTGGGGCTTGGGTTTTGCCGCAGGTGATGGGAGCTTTTCAGTGGGGCCAGGTCTTGGCTTGCCAGGTCTCCTTGCTCTTCTGTAGGCAGGAGGCCCGAGTGGTCACCTTGTCCTCCCTGCGTGGTCCTAGGGAATGTCATCTGCCAGAACCAGTGGGGTGGGGCAGACATCCGCCATGGGGGCGACCCCCTCCTCAGGAACAACCTCATCTCCTGTGGCTACTCAGACGGCGTGGTGGTGGGCGAGCACGGGAAGGGCCTCATTGAAGGAAACATCATTTACGGTAAGAATCAGGCTGGGGTGGAGAAAGATTCGCACCTTCTCCCCCATCCTCTTGGGCTTGCTGGGCTGCTCTCTACCTCCAGTGTGCTCTGGAGCTGCAGTGGGTGCCCAGGAGGGGGCTGGCAGTGGGTGCCCAGGAGGGGGCTGC